CGAACTTCAATTAATCTCACATGTTACTTAAAACATCATGAATCCCGAATGAACTCAAGATTTTTAGTGGTCGACTTAATATATATTTTCGAGATTCCACTGTGACATGTAGCATAAAAGCTTGGAAAACAATAAATATGGCAGTGATAACAAAAGGGATGTTTTTATACATACATACATATGTAGCGTAGGTTACAGCCCTCAAGGATGAACANCTCTCACATGCTACCTAAAACATCATGAATCCCGAATGAACTCAAGATTTTTAGTGGTCGACTTAATATATATTTTCGAGATTCCACTGTGACATGTAGCATAAAAGTTTGAAAAAACAATAAATATGGCAGTGATAACAAAAGGGATGTTTTCATACATACATACATATGTAGCGTAGGTTCCAGCCCTCAAAAAGGATGAAAAAAAAAAAAATAAATAAATAAGTTTATGAACACTTTTTTTACCCTGAGGGCCTGTACCTATGCTGTCTTTACTGATAAAAGTCATCACTCACCCGTAAACATATTCTCATACACATGTGCAAAATAATTATATATGATGTCCCAACAACCACTGCATATCGCTCTTGATTAAGATATTCCTCAAATAGCAGTATTGTTTTCGTTGCTTCACAGATTTTCTTCCGAAGTTTCGTAAAAGAATGGAAGTGTGCGTAGTTTATTTCATTTTAGAAAATTCGGCAAAAAATCTAATTAAATCTTAGCGAGTTCTTTAAAATTTCTTTGCAAATAATTAATATTTTAAAAATCCAAAAGGTCACACTTTACTACTCACGAAAATGTGTTATTTAACCATCGCAGCAACATGGTTCAAAATCATGACATCACTGTGCCCACCAGTGGCAAAGGCAAACACGGTACCCAACTGGCATCATGTCGGTATTTATGTATGTACAAAGAAACTTACTGTGTGCATGCACGGCTGCACACACATCCACACCGGCTGCCAACTGTGTTCTTGTTATACCCGAGCGCACTTGTGCACAAGGGTATATTAATTTTGTTCACATAACGGTTGTTTGTAACAGCCAAAACGAATCGAGATAGATATAGACAAATGTATACATAAATGATCAGGATGAAAAAAGAAATCGATTAAGCCATGTCTGTCTGTCCGTCCGTCCGTCCGTCTGTCCGT